GCTCAATCTCGGCTCACTGCAACTTCTGCCTCCTGGGTTCAAGCGATCCTCTTGCCTCAGCCTCCTGAGTAGCTAGGATTACAGGTGCTGCCACCACACCCGGCTAATTTTTGTGTTTTTAGTAGAGACAGGGTTTCGCCATGTTGGCCAGGCTGGTCTCAAACTCCTGACCTCATGTGATCCACCCATCTCGGCCTTCCAAAGTGCTGGGATTACAAGCGTAAGCCACTGCGCCCGGCCAAGAATGAAGTTCTGATAGCTGGGATAAGAAAGGCTGTGGGAAGAGCCGGTTTCAGACATGCTGGGTCTAAGACACTGCATCTGACACTGCGCTGCATCCAAGCGGAGCCGTGGAGAAGCCAGGTGGGTGCGTAGGGCGGAGCCAGCGCACGGGAAATAGGACGTGATGAGGTAAACCGGTTGGTCCTAGTGTGGACGGAAGTAGAGGATGCAAGCATCGAGCCCAGGGACCCCCCAGCATTGGTGGGGAGGAGCCCGCGGAGGAGCTCGCGGTGCGGGAGAAGCAGGTGGAGCCAGTGCGCCCAGAAGGGGCGTGGCCTGCTGACAGCCGCCCAGGAGGCCGCGCTTGGCAATGTGGAGAGGTGTTTTTGGTGGAGTCATGGGGCTTGATTGGTGAGAACAGGAGGGGAAATTGCAGATGGGCCTGGGTCCCCTGGCTCCCGCATACTCAAGGACCAGGGCTGACTCATCGTTCACCGTGTGTGACCAGGGCCGCGTGTGGCCGGCTGTCACTCGGTATCCAGTTACCCTGGGCAGACCACCGGCGGCACCCCCCAGCCAGAGGCCACAGGAACACACACACCTGCAGGCGACCAGGCCGGACTGCTCGCCCCGTGGGAAACTGAGGGCGTTTCAGTAACAGGGTGTTATGGGACACGGGTTGGGTGGCTTGGAAAAGGCCTAAGGTGGGGTTTGTTTTAGATTGGGGTGGTGAGGGCGCAGTGGCCCCGTAGGATTCTCTAACAGGTCAGCAGTCACTCATTTAGCAAGAGGAGGCGTGTCCAGTGTTTCGTGGGCCGTGCGGTGACCTTGCTTTTGTGCTTAGACGTGATTACGGGTGGCCTTGCTTCGTCTCCTTCTGCCATGGTCTCGTGGCCCCTGTCTCAGCTGGCGTTCCAGGAGGTTGTTTACGTCCAGGAGGAAAGCAAAAGCCTGGCGCTGAGCATCAGGCTGGTTCTGGACGCCAAGGCCGTGCTGTGTTCCTTCTCATCACAGATGAGTTTCTGGACAGGTTTCCCGGCTAGTGCAGACCCACACTGACTGAGAACCGAAATCTTTGCACATGAAAAAATTAACTCCCGTGGCCGGGTGTGGTGGCTCACAACTGTAATCTCAGCGCTTTGGGAGGCCAAGGCAGGAAGATCGCTTGAGGCCAGGAGTTCGAGGCCAGCCTGGGCAACATAGGGATATCCTGTCTGTACAAAAATAACAAATAAAAAGAAAAACAGAGGTCCTGCAGCTGCCTCTGAGCCCACAGAGCTTAAGGGGGCTGTCTCCGAGGGGCCGCACTACCTGCCTCCCTGCTCTTGGGGTTTTGGTCCATTCGGCCCACGTGAGAGCCAGGAGTGCCACAGTTGACATCCTCAGTGAGATCGGCCCCAGTTGCCTGCACCAGCAACCCTCTCATGGAGGAGCCTTTGGTGGGTTTGCTCCTTACCCTGCCTCCCGCCCCCTCACTCACTCCTGCTTCCCAGGTCACCTTCCAAAGGCCCCACACCTGCCTTCTCCTCTCGATCCCCACCTTTGGGGGAGCTAATACCCCCCCGGCAGCCCACCTCCCTGCTTTCCCTCAGAAGCACCGCTCTCTGCTCTCCAGGTGTCCACAGGCGGCGGGGGGTTGCAGGGGGCTCCTTAGCGCCTTCGCCTTGACCAGGTACGTGGAGTCATGGAGCCAGAGCCTGGCTCTGAGAGCGCCTGCTTGTGACCGCAGGCCCGGCCACCATGTCATTTCCCTTCGAGGCAGGACGGAACCGCCGGGGGCGGGGGTAAGGTGGGCCGTCCTGCTCGGGAACCAAAGGTAAACCGGCCTTGTCCTCAGGCCCAGAGCAGTGTCCAGCCTCCTCGGCGAGCCTGGGTTGATTCCTGGAGACACCATCCACGCCTCTGTCACTAAGCACCCACTGTGTCCCACACCCTCAGCCATGTCGCCTGTCACCGGCAGCCTCAGCGTTCCCTTCCCGAGGGCCTGAAAAATAACTGTCCGCTCAGAGGTCTTTGAAGGGGAAGCGAGTGCCCGGGGTGGGCTAGGACCGCAGATCGGATCTTGAGGACTGGCAGCGCAGCGGTGTTTTGTGCAGAAAAGCAAAGGGAGACGTTCCGCGCTCAGACCACACGAGGAGGGCAGCACTGTGGCGGGCTTAGCCCGGGCTCTGCCTCTGGAAGCTTCCAGGAGCTTCCTGTAACTTTCCGGACGGTGCTGAAGTTGCTTCCCCGGCACCTGGGTCGCTGTGGTTTTGACTGTGGGGAGTCCGGGGTCCACTCAGGTGAAGCACTCAGGCCACCCCTGGTGTGGTGACAGCAGCAGCGTCACTGTCACGGGTGATGTGTCAACAGCTCCTCGCCCTCCTCCAGCACTTGCCTAGGAACTGTTCATTTCTCTGAACGCAGCGAATGCCCAGGGCCTGAGCCCCCCTTGCCTGCCTCCAATCATCCCTGGGTCAGGTGGGCTACGAACAAACACACAGTGAGTGTTCAGTCTTGCCCGGTGACTGACTGCCGAAGGCTCTGTGCAGCTTCACTCCGGATGTCTGAAAGGCCCTCACTGGGCTGTGCGGTGGCTCCTGCAGGGCCAGCCCCGGCTCCCTCCAGGGCACGGCGGGAAGAGCCCCAGCTCTCCGGCTAAACCTGTGGGATGCGGCCTCAGCGAGAAAGGGAATCACCCATCTTCACACTGACATTGAGCGAAGAAAAGGTAAAACCCACAGCAAAGGAACCACGTTAGAGTTACAAATGTTAACAGCGGAATAAATCCAGAGGAAAGAACAAAAGAAAGATTCGAAACCAGCCTGGCCAACATGGTGAAACCCTGTCTCTACTAAAAATACAAAAATTAGTCAGGTGTGGTGGCGAGCACCTGTAATCCCAGCTACTCAGGAGGCTGAGCCAGGAGAATTGCTTGAACCCGGGAGGCGGAGGTTGCAGTGAACCCAGATTGTACCACTGCACTCCAGCCTGGGTGACAGAGGGAGACTCCATGTCAAAAAAAAGATATGAGCAGAAATGAATGAAATAAAAAATGACATACTGTAGAGAGGATCAATGAAGCCAAAATCTAATACATTTGATAAACCACCCCAATTAATCAAGAAAAAGGTGGAGACAAATCAACAAGAAGAGGGATGAGAGAAAGAACAAACTGCCCACCACGATCGCGAGGCCGGAGGAGATCACCAAGGGATCCGAGCACCCCGGGGGATGCTGCATGCCCGTGAGTGTGATACCTACACGAAGGAGGATTTTCTAAAAACCAGAAGTCCTATAGCCATTAAAAAATGGAATCAGTAGGAAATAAAAAGCCCCAAATAGAAAATAACATTCCCAGATGTTAACTGGTGAGTTTTACCAACAAGTAAGAACAGTTTCAATTTTATAGAAACTCTTCCAAAGAAAAGAAAATTGGAAAACATGCTTCCCTCTCCTCCCATTTTGTTCGTTTATTTTTATTTGAGACAGGGTCTGGTTCTGTTGCCCAGGCTGGAGTGCAGTGGTGCAATCTCTGCTCACTGTAACCTCTGCCTCCTGGGCTCAAGTCATCGTCCCATCTCAGCCTCCTGAGTAGCTGGGATTACAGGTGCATGCCATCACATCCGTTTAATTTTTGTATTTTTTGTAAAGGTGGGGTTTCGCCATGTTGCCCAGGCTGGTCTCAAACTCCTGTGCTCAAGCCATCCACCCTCCTCAGCCTCCCAAAGCGCTGGGATTACAGGGGTGAGCCACTGCGCCCGGCCCACCCCCCGTTTTATAAGGCAGTTATAACCTTGGTATCAAAACCAGATAAGGACAATACAAGAGAGATTTACAGGCCAGCTGCATTCAGAGCATAGGTGGAAAATCCTGACCGTAACAGAGCTGAACCCACCGTCCCATCTAGCGCTCCTGGGGTGCCCCCACCCATCCTGGTGGGAGCCTCAGGCTGAGCTGCCCCGATCCCAAGGACTCTGCCACATGGTTCCCCGAAGGGGCCAGAAAGACACATCAGAAAGCTGGGGACGGGGTGAGGGAGGCCATCATCCTTTGGAGCAGATTTGGCCACCTGGAGATGAAAAGAGCCAGTTCTGCAAAGTACTCTCCCTCCCTTCTTCACCTCCCTTTCACTTCCCTGGGGTTGTACCTCCCAACAAAGCATCCACACCCAGACGTCTCCCCAGGCTCCCTCTTCTTGGAAACCTGAGCTAAGACAGTAACTAAGCTGGGTTGGTTACAGTCATGTGAGATTGGTTTAGCATTAGACAACTGATTCATAAAGTTCTTTGTATTAACATATTAAAAGAGAAGAAGATGTATGACCTTTTCAGTAACGCAGAAGCAATTTCGGAGAAAATGATATCTACGTAACAACCAGAGCAGCGAGCACCTTCTTTTTGGGTCATGATTCAGACACATCAACTGTAAAAGAACATGTTTGAGACAATCAGGGTTATCTGACGAGGGACTAGGTTTTAGATGACATCAAGACATTGTTAGGAATCCTGTCAAACATGAGAGGGAATTTGCGCTTATATAAAGAAATGTTAGATTTGTAAGAGAGGCAACTGAAGTGTGCGGGGGTGAAATGACGTGGCGTCTGCGCTTTGCTTTAAAATACTCCAGTAAAGAAAAAACCAAGAGAAGCGGGAAGCGGGGGCAAAATCCTCCTAATTGTTGGATCTGGCTGATGAGTATGTGAAGGGCTCATTGTTCCGTGGTCTCTACTTTTGAGACAGTGTAAAAATTTTCATGATAAAAATAAACTCAGTGAAGTAGCATTTGCCGCCACTGTAAAAGTGACACCCAGTGATGGGCACATTAAGTGCTGGCTGGCAGGGGAAGGGCGGGGCATCACTGGCTCTGTCCTCGTCACCATGACCTGCACGTTCTGGCAGTGGTGAGCGCCCAGTGTGTGCTGTGGGACACAATTATCTCTCAACCCCCCACAGAGGATCCTCTCCCCAACCTAACTCCAGCCTTGGAGGGCCTCGGGGGTCTGTGGCACACTCTGCCTGCCGGCTTTGTTCTGGAAGGGGCTGGCGGGGCATGGCTGGCCCCACGTTCCACTCTGAGGACGGCTCGGGGGTCTGCGGGGGACCATCCTGTCTAACCTGCTGACCTCGAGGGGAAGCAGGGCGAGGGCTTAGCTCAGGCACATTCCCTGCTGAGCCGCAACAATGCCGCATCCGCCCTACACAGGCGGATTTGTGTGTGAGCCCCGCGGGGCCCTGGAGTGGAAAATTGCAGCGCCGGCCTTTGTGGGGCAGACTGCTGGCGTTATGGGAATCCTTTAGATGAAGTGAATGTCGCCTTTGTGTGAGGGGCTGGCATTGAGCTCGGGGGCAGCGGAGCGGCAAATTGCTGAGGACAAGCTTAAGCTGGGCCGCAGAAACAATGCCGGGAGGGGAGGAGCCATCGCAGAGGCCGGGAAAAACCTCCCGACAGGTTCCATCTGCAGAGACATTCGAGAAAAACGATCTCCGAGACAGTGGCTTACACACCCCCAGGCACACACACCACGGACACACAGCACATACATCACACACCCCCCACACACCACAGATATACCACACACACACCCCACACCACATATGCAACACACACATCACACACGCCACACAGAACACACCACAAACCACACACACACCACACACACCCCACATACATCACACCAGATACACGACACACACGTCACACACACCATACAGACACACATCACAGATAAACCACACACACACCACACTGCACATACATCATATACCACACACACATCACACACATCAGACACACCACACACACCATACACCACACTCATCACAGAAACGTCACACACCACACATATACCACACACACATTCTACACACCCCACACATCACATAAACACTACACAAACATCACTCACATCACACATCACATATACACCACACACCACACACACACCCCACACACCACATAAACACCACACACACCACATACCACACACACCGCCCACATATCAAATATACACCACACCCCTGCACATGCTCCCAGACCGGTTGGAGCCCTGCCCTCGCACCCCAGCTCCCACACATCTGCCCCTCTCTTCCCTTGGCCTCCCGCCCCTTCTCTACCCTCAGGAGCCCTGTGCAGGCCACACTGGGTCCTGCCCAGCCCCTGGGCCGGGAGGGACGGTCCCCGTGCCATCCCCAGCGCTGCCCACCCTGCAGAGCGTCCTCAGGCAGCCGGCTCCACACCTGCGACAGGCCTGAGGCCCCGGCTGCAGGTCCCACTCGGCTGCAGGTCCTGCCGAGGCAGCCAATGGCCTTGAGGCCTCTCCCAGGTGGGACGGCCCCTGCGAGGACTGGTGGGCGCAGGGGCCAGCCCTGCCCATGGCCGTGCTCAGCTGTGGGAGGCACGTGGCTTTTCTTTCTCTGATCCCTGGCAAAGTCTTACTTTTTCTTCCCCGGGGGGTGAGGGTGGGGCCTGTGCTGGCACTGCGCTGAGCCAGGCATGCTGGGCTGGCGCCTCCCTTGCCGGGGTACAGATGGCCTAGATGGGGCCCGTGTGGAGGTTGCGTCCCTCCGACCCTGCCGCCTGCGCAGTCCCTGCATCTCTGTGGGGGGACCCAGCGGCAGTGGCCCTGGGCGGGGCTGGGACCGAGGGTCAGGCCGGATGGAGCTGCGTGGTGGCACTCAGCCCGCATTCTCCCTGCGGCCACCGAGACCCCAGATGGGCACTGGCACCTTGGACGATGCCCAGGTCCCCTCACAGTCTCTTCAGCCACCCCCCACCCTCAGCCTTCTCTGGAAACTGCAGTGACCTCCTCCCACAGCCCCTCAACCCAAGGCGGGTCCTTTGGGGCCCACTGGGCGCTTTGGCAGGGCCTGCCCTGGGCTGGTCACGCTCGCCAGGGTCTTGGTCCAGGGCACAGGCAGGGGTGACGGTGACTCTCCAGGAGGCCAGGAAAACCAAGAGACATCCAGTGAGGAAGGGCTGCCGGTGCCCAGGGACGTCCAGTGAGGAAGGGCTGCTCGTGCCCAGGGTGACCGTGTTTGCACAGACCCCAGTGTGCCCGCGGGGCTGAGCTGTTTGCCTATCCCTGTGCCCTCCCCAGGTGGGAGGCTGCAGGACCAGCCTTGTTCTTGCCCTTCCCAGCCCTGGCCTGGGAGGCAGACACTCGACTCGCGGCCCTTGGCTTCCATGCCAGGCTGCCTGGAGAGGTCAGCGTCTTCTGGGAGGGGGCCTTGGGGCCTACTGGGCAGACCTCTCTCTCCACGATCCTTCCCATCCCCAGGCAGACCTTCCCCTGACCCAGCTCACACCAGCCTGGGGCCTGTGTACTGGGGTCGGGCTCCCGCAGGCTGTCCCAGGCAGGCCCCAGGGAGCCCTGTGCCACTGGGCAGTGGTGTGGGAGGCACAGGAAGAAGCTCACCTCACTCTTCACACTTCCTGGTGGGAACCCTTGTTTCCTACATCCTCTCTACCTTGGGGTCCCAGCGTTGCTGGTGACAAGGCCGGCTGCAGGTTTTGGCTCAGAGGCAGACTGAGGGCAGAGCCAAAGGGCTCCAGGCCTCCCCAGGCAGTCTCGGTCCGCTCACACTTGGAGAGCTGCCAGAGGCCGCTGGACGCCAGCAAGGAGCTTGAGGTGCCCCAGGCCGGTGGTGCCCCAGGGTATTTGATACCAGAGTGAGTCACGGTTTTGAATATTCCATCCTCCATACTGAAAAATTATTTTTAGGATAGTTATGTAATAATCACGGATAATCATGATTTTCTTGATTCATTCTTTAAAGCAAGTAACAGAAAAAAGAATGCATTTCAATGTTAAAGATATTCAAATGCAGCCAATTCTTTCATGCATGAGCTAACATCTCAACTTCAGCACTACACCTCCGTTTGTGCTCCGGTTTCACAGTCTTACATTTGAAACACAGAGTAAAAACACCAAGAGGTCTTGCAGAATGACAGAACTGAAATAATTCCAGCTCGGTTTCTTTGTGAGTGCTGTTGTTGTTGCTTTTTTTTTTTTTTTTTTAGACGGAGTCTCGCTCTGTCACCCTGGCTGGAGTGCAGTGGCACGATCTCGGCTCACTTCAAGTTCCGCCTCCCAGGTTTACGCCATTCTCCTGCCTCAGCCTCCCGAGTAGCTGGGACTACAGGCGCCCGCCACCTCGCCCGGCTAGTTTTTTGTATTTTTCAGTAGAGACGGGGTTTCACCGTGTTAGCCAGGATGGTCTCGATCTCCTGACCTCGTGATCCGCCCGTCTCAGCCTCCCAAAGTGCTGGGATTACAGGCTTGAGCCACCGCGTCCGGCCAATTTTAGTATTTTTAGTAGAGATGGGGTTTCACCATTTTGGCCAGGCTGGTCTTGAACTCCTGACCTCAGGTGATCCACCGGCCTTGGCCTCCCAAAGTGCTGGAATTACAGGCGTGAGCCACCATGCCTGGCCTCAGTAAAGCATCTTTACACAGAAACACTCATAAGACAGATGATGCATTGCTTGGCTGATGAGAACATTGGGACCAGAGGCTCACAGGACCCTAACCCTGTGTCTCCCCTGGGAGCCATGGCTCAGCAGTCCAGGCATCACCAATTCAGTACTCACCACAGCTTTATAGAACGTCCCTACCTCGAGAATCAACTGCTATGAATGCAGCAATTGCTAGAACTTAGCCCAGCAAAAGGGGAGGCGTATTTTGTGCTGATGTGATTTTCACGGACAGTGGCTGGGAGTCAGGAAGAGAACACTGACTTGTCTTTGGTTTCATTCTGGTTTTTCATTTTCCACAGACATATCCCTCAGTGCACTGGCCATCACCTCCCCCTGCCCGCTGCCTGCACTCTGTGGCTTTGAGGCAGCATCTTCAACACCAATTTCAGGAGGAGCCCAGGTCCAGAGCAAAAGGGTCCTGTTTCCCCAGAATCCAGGCGAATGGCGCAGGGCTCTGGCCGGCGGATGCACTGACCTCAGCCTGCATGTACTTGTTTATTTGTTTCTTGTTTGTCTCTACCCAACTCCACAAAAGCAGGGACTCTGTTTAACACAGCGTTAAGAGATAGGGCTCGACCAGTGTGGAACATTGAGCGAGGATGTGTGCACGGCAGGCTTCGGGCCAGTGAGTGGAGGTGAAGGATCCTGAAAGTAGCAGGCTTTGAGATGTGGCGGGGGTGAGCCTGAATTATCCAGGTGGGCCAGGAGAGTAACTGCCAGATGGATGTGATGGGAGAGACCTCACTGCCCACCACTGCCTTTGAAGATGGAGGAGGGGCCACGAGTCAAGAAACACAGGTGCCTTGAGACGCCGGAGAAGGCAGGAAACAGATTCCCCTGAGCCTCCAGGAGGAGCCAGTCCTGCCAGTGTCTCGATTTAAGTTGAATGAGATACATTTCAGACTTGTGGCCCCCAGAACTGTGAGATAAGACATTTGTGTTGTTTTAAGCCACTAATCTGTGATTGGTACATCAGCCACAAGACACTAATACAACGCCTAAACTCGGGTTTGAAAGGGCCCCTAGGACCCTAGAGCCCTCCCTGTCCCCTGGTCCAGGACTTCCTGCTTCTGTTGTGCAGACTTAGGCCCTGGCTCACTCAGAAGGCCCCTGCAGGTCTGGCCAACCTTGTGGCAGGAGCCTTGACGTCCCACGACGGCCTCTGAGCTGCCAGGCCCTACGGCATGTGGTGAGGAGCACAACAGGTGTGAGTGCCTGGACCTCGCTCTGCCCCGTGTCTGAAGGACCTTGCCCCATCCTCGGCGCCCAGAACTGTGCAGTCATAGGACCAGACTGGTGCCCAGTCCCAGGTTGATGCCTCAGCCACCTCGTCAGCCTGCAGTCCCCGCTATTTGACTGACCATGTGCAGGGCCTGCTGTGAAGGACAGCACAGCTCCTCCCTCCCTGCCAAATGTCAGGGACACTAAAAACACTGCCCTCAGTGTTCTGATATTTAAATCATGTTTAGATGCAATGTTTAAAAAAATCAAAATGGGTCGGATGCGGTGGCTCATGCCTGTAATCCCATGACTTTGGGAGGCCGAAGTGGGTGGATCACCAGAGATCAGGAGTTCGAGACCAGCCTGGCCAACATGGTGAAACCTCATCTCTACTAAAAATAAAAAAATTAGCTGGGCG